ATTTGATGATGGACAATACACGTTCGTACTTTTTCTCAATATCTCAATGCATTTCAATGAGTAGGTCTCATTTTGTTTTCGAAAAAGAAGTTAAATCTCTAACAACTCAAAATATTTATTTAAAGAAGTGAAAGTTCATACATCTTTAAAACATAAGGCATGAGTAGAAGTCTTGAACAAATATCAATACAAAAAGAAAAGTTTGTAGAAGAGACTTCTATTCATATCTTATGTTTTATAGATGCATGAACTTTCACTTCTTTAAATAAATATTTTGACTTTTTAGAAATTTAACTATTCTGTTTTCTTGAGAATAAAATGAGATCTTTTCATTAGAATATGTTGAGATATTGAGAAAAAGTACGAACGTGTATTGTCCATCATCAAATTGATAAAATTAGATAAATGGTTAGGTTACATGTAAGACGAAGATGATTCTGGAATATTAAACTTCTTTTTCAAGTAAAGTATCGTTTACGACAGATAAAATAAAGAAAAATTATGGTTTTAACGTCAACAAATCACTATTTATGACATTTACAATCCGACGTTTAAACGACAAGAACATAATGTTACTTTATGACGTAGAAAATCGTTTTTTGTGATAAACGCGTAATTTGGTCAATATATCGTCGTTTAAACGATGTGACATTAAACATCGTTTTAACGGCAGAATAGGGTTTCCTCAACTAACTGGGTACTTATCGTCAAAAGATGGAGTCTAAACAGCTTAAACACCTAAATATGTTCCCTCGTAAGCCAAAAGAATTCTTTATTATTTCATATTTACCATATTCATCATTAAGAGAATAAAAGCAAAAAACATCAAATGATACAATGTGAATAATTAGTATTAATGTAATTTTATTACAAATGCGCAAAAGAGTTATATGACTATGTTACCAAATCAAATTCTTGCACAAGTTCATAATTTTCGTCATCCATTTCCATTGTGTCCACATCATCATTCATTATTATTTCAGATTCATTGTTATCATTCTTCGTTTGTTTAAATTTCTCTACTTTTGATGGTGACCATTTATTGACTTGACATGGAGCAGTTCCAGTAATTTTATTCACCACCTCCCTTGCAAATAAAAGTGTAGCTTTTTTTTCTGCAAATATTACTTCTAGATTCGCTAATACATGAACATATTGATTATATGCATTTAATGGTTTATTCCAATTAATAAGATAATGCAATTCATTCTTTGTTTTTTTTAATGCAAATTTTAAATTGGTTAATAAATCACCACTACGATATGTTTGAGAAGAATATTCACTAAAACATGATTGAATACATAATGATAATTTTTTACTACACATAATTCCGTTATTTAATGATCGAAAAAATGGTACACCAAATGCTGCATCACCTACTAAACATGTATATTGTTTTTTCTCTTCGTTATAATATACAAATTCGGATGATTGATACACTGCTAGAACAATACAGGTGATTTTTTCTGAATTTTCTATTCTTTGTTCATTAGCATATTCTTTTTTAACATTAAACCAAATTGTTATTGTTTCTAATAAATCTTTAGGTATGAGGTGTTGATGACTATGTAAATAATAAGGTTGTTTAAATGTCGCTGATTTCATTTGTTCATAGATTTGTTTATCAATTAATAAATGTAATGTTATTGGTGTTCGATTCTCTTTTTGAGTTCCAATATGTTCATTAACAAGATATTTTAATTGTTTCTGTGTTCGATATTGATATTTTATAAAATCTAATTTTTGACCTTGACCATTAACTTCATATTTTATTTCTACAACATATTTTAACACTTTTTCATATTCCATTTTATTGTTAAATACAAGTTGACGAATAATGGAATGAGAACCATCGGCACCAATGATCACTCGAGAATCAGAAAATTGATTTAAATTCTCTATATTCTTATGTACAATAGGAATTTGCAATTGTTTAGATAATTCTAATAATTGTGATTCCAACATGCTTGTTCGTACAACAGATGGTAAATTGTCAATCATATTTTTCAATAATAGCGATGGAGGTAAACCAAAAAATGTTCTCATTTTATTTAAACGAAGAACATGATTACGTTGATATTGTTGATGCTTCTCATAGATAACCAGATTTACTTGTGGTAAAAGAATTTTTATTTGAACAGCTGTAAATAAACCAACTGGTCCACCTAGATATAAACATAAAATATTTTAGTTCAATAATCATTCGTTTTTAATACCCCCAATAATTACGATTTGTGGAGATTGTTCTTCTTCCATTAGATTACTCATTTTATTCTTGTTTTGTAAGTCTGTATTTGTCTTCTTTGCTTTGTGTCGGTCGTGAAATTGAAGCTGTTATTTTTCGAGAATAAAATATTCTTTCTTTTAAATGAAAATGCGATATTTGCGATGCTATTGCTTGAAATGTGAGATATTTACTCAAGAACTGAGTATGCGATCAATTATTATGAAGAACGAAAGAAAAAGAAAGAAGAAGAGAGAATTACTTTTATACTCGAAAACAGATTTTTTTTTAATGCAGCAATTAATCCGTATTTTAGAGTTAACTGGTCATGGACATTTTTTATGAATAACTTTAGAACAACAAAAGCTAAGGAGCTCATATTTCCGGCGATTAGTGGAGTCGGCAATGCTGTCTTTTTGCAAAATTGACGAAAAAACTCTGCTGCTTTTCTTGTTGGACATGTGATGAGTTTCTAAAATGATGTCTATCCGACATCGAAAAATATGAAATTTTAATTCCCCTTGACTGGAGGAGGGTCACACCAAATAAAATGATTTTTTTGCTTGATTGCTTGATTGGAGTCAAAAAAACATAAAAAAATTCTTTTTCGAAAATTTTTTTTAATGCAGGAACAGACTTTTTGAGAAAAAATAAATTTTTCCGAAAACACCTGAAATTTTTTTGAAAAAAATTTTTTTTTGAAAAATAGAACTTGAGGACCTCAGGGTTTCGGGCTGGGGATGGGAGATGGTTACCAAACCGTTACCAGTTACCTGGGAACGTGACGGTAACTTTTCACCCTTACCTACAGCCACACCCACCCATACCCTTTGAGTTCCCAATTCCCAATTAGTTCCCATTAACTTCCTGACTCCTGGGAACTTGGCCAGGTCTCATTGAGGCATTGGAATATTATGAAGCACTCAATTCATGGAAAAAGGTCCATTTATGGTAACTTTGGCACTTCATAGCTTTTGATAGGAATGATATATGGCTCTCAAATTTTTACTGTTAATAGGACACTGAAAGATGTATCTCTCCTGAAAAGGATGTGGGTGTGGGTGTGGGTGGACGTGAGTGTGGGTATGGGTGTGTGTGGGGTAGTGGGTATGGGTGTGGGTGTGGGTGTGGGTGTGGGTGTGGGTGTGGGTGTGGGTGTGGGTGTGGGTGGGTGTGGGTGGGTGTGGGTGTGTGTGTGGGTGTGGCTGGATGTGTGGGTATATGTGGCTGTGAGTCTTTTTGAACTGAAGATTGACATCTACACCCACAGTCACACCCACATCCACACCCACCCACACCCGCACCCACCCACAGCCACACCCA